AAAAAGCCCTTTAAGCCCTGTAAACCCTGTAAACCCTATAAACCCTGTAACCCTATAAACCCTATAAACCCTGTAAACCCCAAGCTCCAAACCAAGGGTTCACCCAGTCCCAGCTGAGTAGGCCCAGAATGTGATTTGTAGACTCGCAGGCTTGACCCTAAAGAACCTCAAGCCTACTGTTTTGTCGGTTCTGATGAACCCCTTGTAGGATTCTTAGGTAACCTCAAGGGCTTCAGGTTGTCGCACCCTAAACCCTAAACCCTAAACCCTAAACCCTGAACCCTAAACCCTAAACCCTAAACCCTAAACCCTAACACCACACCCCAAAGCTTTCAACTCTGCAGCTTCCGACCCTGTGGAGGCGACGGTGGCTTCTTTGCAAGCCGACTCCGAACGGATGGACGCGCAGCGGCTGCTGGTGGAGCAGCAGGCTGACCCTACATAACTAAGTTTAAGTAGAAAAGCACAGAACTCAATAAGTCCAAAGAAGCAAAAAAAACAACAAGTAGATAGATAAATGAATAAGTAGACATATATATATATATATGAATATATATATATATATGGAGATTCTCTGTTTATTCTATATGATTTTCTTCGTATAGACCTACATTTGCCACATGCGTATGTATACTTATGTATATGTATGTGCATAAAACGGCAAATAAATATAGAAGCTCAACGAATGAAGAAACAGATGCGCCCAAACTATATGTATGTATATGTGTAGATAGATACAGAGAGAGAGTGGGCGGAGTATGAAGAGGGTCTGATATCCACAAAGGATGGGGACAAGTGCTGGGGGACGACCGGAAACCCTGAACCCTAAACCTTAAACCCTAACCCTAAACTTTGGCCCTAAACCCGAAACCCTGAACCCTAAACCCTAAACCCTAAACCCTAAACCCTAAACCGCAGGTCCAAGAGATGTCTGGGCCCCTGCGGGAGCTCGAGGTGCTTCTTGTCTTTGTGCCAGAAGCTTAGGGTCCCTAAACCCTAAACCCTAAACCCTAAACCCTAAACCCTAAACCCTAAACCCTAAACCCTAAACCCTAAACCCTAAACCCTAAACCCTAAACCCTAAACCCTAAACCCTAAACCCTAAACCCTAAACCCAACGCCCTCTGAATCAGAAACTTAGGGTTGCTACAGTAGGGTTCCTGGGGTTTGTAGGGGAGGGCCCTTGGATTCCTAGGTCTTGAAGGGCATTACGGTTAGGGTTCTTGTTCCGGTTTAGGGTCTAGGGTTTAGGGTTTTAGAGTTTAGGGTTTAGGGTTTAGGGTTTAGGGTTTGGGGTTTAGGGTTTAGGATTTAAGGTTTAGGGTTTAGGGTTTAGGGTTTCAGGAACCTTTCCTGCAAGACATGTTTCGCTGCGTTCGAGTAGCAGTTGCCTGTCAAGAGTCGGCCTAGTATGTCGGTTATTCACCCTAAACCCTAAACCCTAAACCCTAAACCCTAAACCCTAAACCCTGAACCCAAGTATCGTGCGGCTCTGCTCGTTTTTCGAACTTTTTGCGAGTGAGGACCTATGGAAGAGAGCCCTCAACAAAACAAAAGCTGAGGCAAAAAAGAAGAGGTCCTGAGTAGGATAGGAATTCGACCCGAAGCTGTGCCGGGATGTCGTTTTGAGGTCTGTAGGGTCAAAAGTAGGATCCTTGGTGGGCTCCTCGGATCTTTCATACTTGTCATTGAAGAGAATCCTACTTGGGGTGCTTTAACCGGTGTGGGCCTGTGCAGCCCTTGTGGAATTCTCAGGGATTATTGGCGTTCCTTCTGCCGCCTGTTTATTGGGTTGCGCGAGTCGATTTGGGTTTGGGGTTTCTCATTTCTTGCAGAGTCAGGATTACAGTATAGTCCCAAACCCCAAACCCCAAACCCCAAACCCCTAAACCCCTAAACCCCTAAACCCCTAAACCCCTAAACCCCAAACCCCAAACCCCAAACCCCAAACCCCAAACCCCAAACCCCAAACCCCAAACCCCAAACCCTAAACCCTAAACCCTAAACCCTAAACAACTGCTCCTGGGCTCTCCGGGAGGCGCTGTGGGAGGAGGGGGCCCGCCGCACGGAGCGCCTCCAAACGCTGAAGACCAGCGAGGAGACGTCGCGGCAGGCCGTAGGGTTTAGGGTTTAGGGTTTAGGGTTTAGGGCTTAGGGTTTAGGGTTTAGGGTTTAGGGTTTAGGGTTGGGGGGGGTTTAGGGTTTAGGGTTTAGTGTTTGGGGGCTTGAAAGCGCTGAACCCTCAAGCCTTAAACCCCCAGGTCTAGGGGGTTGGGATTTCCAGGGCGTTGGAGGATTTTCTCGCGTTTCGGGTTTAGGGGCTAATTGGATCTTGGAGTAGGTCATGTTCCGGGTTTAGGTATTTAAGGGGCTTTCGGGTATGTACGATTTAGGGATTTGAGGGGTCTGGTGGCGCGGGCATTGAGGATTTGGGGATGTAGAGGGGTTTGGGGCTTCCTAGGGTTTGGGCGTCTACAGTAAGCTCCAGAAAGTTGGAACATGGTTTAAGGATTTAAGGATGATTCGAGCTGGGATTCCCCTTAGTATACCTCTTTGGAGGGTAAAGGGATAAGAATGTTCCAACCGTTTAGAGTTTACTGTATAGTGGCCGCACAGGTGGTTTGGCCTAGCGAGCGCTTAAAGATGTGTGGAATTCCTACTAGTTGCTTAAGAACCCCCTAGAAAAAATCAAAAACCATCCTCCTTGAAAGGGCAATACAGGGATTGTCATTGTTCATTTTCGGGGGCTCTTCAGCAAATAGTAGATTCGAGACACTTGGGATTCCTTGTCGACAGTGGGCTTGAGGATTTAGAGTTGTTGTTGGGTTTTCGGTCTCGAGCTTGGGCTTAGGGTTTAAGATTTTTAGGGTTTGGGGCTCAACCCTAAACCTTAAACCCTAAACCCTAAACCCAAAAACCCACTCAATGTTGTTGATCTCGCTCAAGAAAGCGTGAGCTTTCGTGCACCATCACTTCGACTGCCGCCGCACCGGGTAATTTGCGGACATGAAGCCTCAGCTGCATCCCTCAACCCTCAACCTCCATGACCCCCAAGCCCCAAAAAAACCTACACTCTCTAACCCGCAACCCCAAACCCCGGAGCCTAAGATGTATCAATCATCCCAAGCCCTAAACCCTGAACCCTAAACCTGAAACCTGAAACCCTAGACCCTAAACCCTAAACCCTAAACCCTAAACCCTAAACCCTATAAACCCTAAACCCTAAACCTCCGCAGTGGCCCTTAAAAGCCTTGAACCGGACACGTGCCCTTTCACTTCCAGGCGGTGGCCGAGCTGTCTGCAAAACGAGCAGCGCTCCAGGAGGCTCCAAAGTTTGTTGTTATTACTGTTATTCTGTATTATTTACTATTAGTCATTATTATCATCAAATACATATATATATATATATATTTGGTTATACATATATACTCTTTTTTGTTGTGATTTTTTTGTTGGGGGGGTTAGCGTTTTTGCGTTTTAGGTTTTTTGGGCTTTAGTGTTTTAGGGGGTTTAGGTCTTTAGGGCGTTTGGGGTTTCATGATGTTGTTAAGGGATTTATGGTTTTAGGGTTTTAAGGTATTTTCGGGCTTTAGGATTTTTGGGTTTTTGGTCTTCAGGGCGTTTAGGTTTAACTTCTTTGTTTTAAGTTGTTTCTGTGCTTTTAGGGTTCAGGGTTTCACAGACTTTTAGTGCTTTACAGGTTTTAAGGCTTTAGGGCTTTTAAGGCTTTAGGGCTTTTAGGGCTTTTAGGGCTTTAGGGCTTTTAGGGCTTCAGGGCTTTCATGGGGGTTAGGGTTGAGGCATTCGGGTCTCAGGCGCTCCTGCATCAGTGGTCACTGTCAGCTCAATTCAGGGTTAAGGGTTTTGTGGTTTTGGTTTAGGGTTTAGGGTGATTGCAGTCTAATTCATTTGCGTGGTTGATTGCCAGGGCCAAGATCCCTCCCTACACCTCACCCCCCCCCCCCCCCCCCCCCCCCCCCCCCCCCCCCCCCCCCCCCCCCCCCCCCCCCCAACCAGCCCCAAACCTTAACCCACCCCCCATCCCCCGAACCACCCGACCCCCCCCCACCCTCCCCGCCCTTATAGTTCATTGGTTTAGAGTCACACGGGCTTCGTGTGAGAGATGCTTTGCTCGGTCATCATCCAGGGCTTTCAAAGTTCTTGTAGTATAGATTGGGATGCTCCCCCTTATACTAATTAACAGTTCCTACTTGGGATTATAGTACCCCTATTCTAATCTTTATTCAGGACTGTTAGTACAAGGGGGAACATCCCAGAGTATAGGGTTGTAAGCTTTAAGGGTTCGGGGTTTTGATTTGAAGGGCCCTACACCCTAAACCCTAAACCCTAAACCCGAAGAGGATCTGGGGGTAAAATGGTCACCTGGGCAGGCAACGGGCAAGCTGCAGGAAGAGCTGCGCGAGCTGGCGGCGAAGGCCCCGAGGGTTTAGGGTTTAGGGTTTAGCTTGGACCCAAACAACATGGAGATACCTTTTTTGGGGGAGTTTGAATGGAAAACATTGTGACATAGCTGACACGGAAGAAGCTTGTTGGAGGAAACGTGAATCAGCAGCCTAACCTCGGACTTCCATGACCCCACCTAACTTCCTGATAACCCTGAAACTCTCAAGCCTGAGCACTATATACCCCAAAGACCCAAAAGCCCAGGACCGATACCCCTATCTACCTCCAAATCCCTAAAACCCCAGGCCCCAAACCCAAACCCCTTCCCCAAACCCAAAAAACCCCGAACACCTTGCAGCCCCAAAAGCCCGGAACCCCCAAAACCCGGAAACCCCGCACTGAAGCAACTCTGGAGGCTCCTAAGGTCGTTCCATTTTGGCGGTTAGTTATAGGGGATGATATAGTATGCTGCTACCCTAAAAAGGTAGCCTAAACCCTAAGTCTTAAACCCCAAACCCCAAACCCTCAAACCTAAACCCCAAACCCCAAGCCCTAAACCCTAAACCCCACTATCCTGAGCCCTGGGTTTGCCAGGAGCTGCCCCAGGTGGCCAAGCGGCAGCGCGAGGCCGTCTTACAGGCTGCGGGAAAAGGGGGGGTTTAGGGTTTAGGGGTTTAGGGTTTAGGGGTTTAGGGTTTAGGGGTTTAGGGGTTTAGGGGTTTGGGGGTTTGGGGGTTTAGGGGTTTAGGGGTTTAGGCTGGTTTAGGTTGGTTTAGGTTGGTTTAGGTTGGTTTAGGTTGGTTTAGGGGTTTAGGGGTTTAGGGGTTTGGGGGTTTAGGGGTTTAGGTTGGTTTAGGTTGGTTTAGGTTGGTTTAGGGGTTTAGTTTAGGGGTTTAGGGTTTAGGGTTCAGGGTTCAGGGTTCAGGGTTTAGGGTTTTGGGTTTAGGCCCCAGGAATCTAGGGTTTGGGGGGGGGGGGGGGTTGTGGGGCTTTGGGTTTTGAGTTCCAGGGTTTAGGGCATTGGCTTTTAGGGCTTCCCTTGCTTCAGTTCAGGGTTGTCTTACACAGGTTTGTGCTTTACGGTTTCGGATTTAGGGTTGAGGGTTCTATGGGTTTAAAGTCCAGGGCTTGCGGGCTTGAGGGGTTCATACGGCTGAAGGGTGTGATAGGGTTTAACGATTTGAGTCGCCGAGGGCGCTCGATTTCGGGTTTAGGATTTTTTTATCACCGGTTCTAAAGTATGCGCCCTTGGGTTTTACAGGGCTATATCAGGTGTATATAAGGGGGGCCCTTTTATGGACCCATACTAAGGGACCATGTAACTACCCAAGGAGACTAGGGTTTAGGGTTTGGGGTGTCTCTGAGGTGCAACGAGCGCAGAGCGCGCAGGCGGATGCGCGAAGTCGATGGCAGTCGGAGGCCAGCTGCTAGCCGTAGCGATTTCCTGGGGTTTAGGGTTTAGGGTTTAGGTTAGGACGTTTGGGCGAATATGAGTTGGGATGTCCCCCTGATACTAACAGTCCTTCACAGGGATTATCATAGGTCGTACTATAATCTCTATTAAGGACTGTTAGTATAAGGGGGAACATCCCAAGATATGAGCCAGGTACCTAGGAGCTCGACACGGCTACTCGTACCTATTGTTGCTGATGCTGCAACCCTAAACCCTGAACCCTCAACCCTAAACCCTAAACCCTAAACCCTAAACCCTAAACCCTAAACCCTAAACTGCCTACTTCAGACGCAGCACACAACATGCACATCTATGCCTCAGCGACAGAGACAGGGGGAGAGGGAGAGCCGGAGCGGGCCAGAGGGAGCTTCGGAACCAAGCCCCACAAGAGAAAGAAAGCGTTTAGGGTTTTGGGTTTAGGGTTTAGGGTTTAGGGTCTAGGGTTTAGGGTTTAGGGTTTAGGGTTTAGGGTTCAGGGTTTAGGGTTTAGGGTTTACGGCTCAGGGAAGAACGTGGCGGTTCCTTTTCATGGCAGGTGAAGATGTGCCAAAGTGCACTGCAAGCTGAAGAGAAGCAGCTGGCGCGTCTGCTGGCACGCTGGCGACCTACGAAAGGGGGAACGTGCAGGTCCATGCCTCCCCCCTGAGTATAGGGTGCTTAAGGGAGGGGGTTCAAGGGGGGTCATGCATTCCAAGGTTCCCCAATACTGCCCCCTTTGAACCCCCCTCCCTTAAGAACCCTATAACTCTGGCAGTCCATGGTTTCAGGGGATTCGGATCTACGGAATTCATCCGGTCTTGGGGGTGGGGATTTGGATGATCCTTCAGCCCTAAACCGGAAACCCTGAACCCGCATCCCTAAACCCTAAACCGCATGGCGTGGCAAACTTGAGGTAAGGAGTCAGCAGCGATTGCGGCCAGGGAGGGGCAGCAGGCCTGTGCCATGTGCAGCACTCGCGACTACTGGGTACCCTAAACTAACCCCTAAACCCTAAACCCTACACCCTAAACTGTTTAGGGTTTATGGCTTAGGGTCTAGGGTTTGGGGTTTTGGGGTTTTGGGGTTTAGGGTTTAGGGCTCCTACTTGCTTCAGAACTCTTCCCAGAAAACATAGAAATATTCTTCTTTACAAGTGGAATAGAGGGACAGGGGTTATTTCCTTTGAGTTTTTTGGGTTGAGTTCTTCAGCAGAGAGTAGTACTTGGGCCCCATGTACCCACAGCTTTAGCCTGGCAATCGCTGCAGTTTGTGGAGCTCAGCTCAACCGACCCGAAGCCCGAGACTTCTGCAAACCCACAACCAAAGCCCAGCATGGACGCCTTAACCCTAAACCCTAAACCCCAAACCCTAAACCCTAAACCACGAAAAACTCCAAACCCTAGCCCTAAGCCCCAAACCCCTGAGCCCCAAAAGCCCGAGTTTGACAGGCTTGTTCGGTGTTGGCCAAATCTCTGGCCGACGTGCGGCTGGAGCATGGCCGGCTTCTGGGCTGGCAGCAGGCCAGCCGTGTGTCGGGGCGACCTGCGGGCCTAAACCCCTGAGAGGGGTTTAGGGTTTAGGGTTTAGGGTTTAGGGTTTAGAGTTTAGGGTTTAGGGTTTAGGGTTTAGGGTTTAGGGTTTCCGGAGTCCGGAGGGCTTCTCATGACACTGAAGGCCACGCAGTGAGGTGGCCCGCACTTTGTCATCTTTCGTTTTAGGGGGAACCACGACAAAGGCTCAACCCTAAAAGGGTAAGCCACTAAGCCCATTTACAGAAACCCTAAGCCTGAAACCCTAAACCCTAAGCCAAATTAAACCCCTGAATCCTAAACCCCAAACCCTCTAACCCCAAAATCCTAAACTCTAAGCCCCTAATCCTAAACCCTAAACCCTAAACCCCTAAACCCTAAACCCCATAAACCCCTTGTGTGCGCAACGGAGTGCCAGGACACCGCAGAGGGCCGGCCGTGGCAGCCTCGGAGGGAAGAGGGCCCCGAGATCCCAAAATGGGTTTTAGGGTTTAGGGTTTAGGGTTTAGGGTTTAGGGTTTAGGGCTAGGGTTTAGGGTTTAGGGTTTAGGGTTTAGGGTTCAGGGTTTAGGGATGTTTAGGGTTTAGGGCTTAGGGTTTGCGATTTCGGGTTTAGGGGGGAAACACAGACAGGCGCAGCAGGTTCTGGGATTTTTGCATGCATAGGGCTTAGGGTTTCTGAGGCTGAAGGTTTATTTGGATTTTAGGCTTCGAGGCATGTAGGGTTCGCAGGCTTTCTACAGATTCATCAGTTTAGGGGTTTAGGGGCCGGGCTAGGGTTTAGGGTTTTGGGGTTTTATGGTTTAGGGTCCCTGCTTAGGATCCTCTGAAATGGTTCCGGACACTGTATCTAAACTCCAAGCCCCCAAACCCCTACAACCCTAAACCCTCAACCCCTAAAACCCTAAACCCTAAACCCCCAAAACCCTGAACCCTTAACCCCTAATCCCCTAAACCCGAAATGGCAAACCTAAACCCTCAACCCTAAACCCTAAACCCTAGACCCTTTGATGAGGTCCGACCTCGACCCTTTCGGCCTCAGAAGAGCTGCGGCCGACCTCGGGAGCCGGATCGAAGGTCGGCCACCCAGCCTGTGGGAGGGTTTAGAGTTTAGGGTTTAGGGTTTAGGGTTTAGGGTTTGGGCTTTGGGCTTTGGGGTTTGGGGTTTAGGGTTGGCGTTTGGGGTTTAGGGCTTGGGTTTAGGGCTTAGGGCTTAGGGCTTAGGGCTTAGGGCTTAGGGCTTAGGGCTTAGGGCTTAGGGCTTGGGGTTTATTCCTTCTCAAGAGTAGAAGCCAACATCCAACAAATGACCGAAGGGTAGTTCGAGTGTAGCCTTCGGAGAATTATTGCTATCGCCACTGCGTATTCTTTGCGACTGCACGGTCTCCTTAATGCGGCATAGGATGGTCTAGCGGTGATTTAGGAGGAGTCTAGGGCAAAAGGCAGCTTAGGGGTATTCAGGGGTGTTGAGGCCTTGGGAGTTAAACTACTATTCGCTTACGAACCCCCCAAAAAATGAAGGACAATAATCCCTATGTTGCCCTTATGAGGAAGAATGTTTTCCTTTTCTGGGGGGGTTCTTAAGCAATTAGTAGATAAGGGTGTAGCTTCATGAGGATGAGCCCTGAACACTAACACCTGTGAAGCGTCGGCAACATCTGAGGGAAGGCGACGCCTGCTGCGTGACACCTTGCCTTAGACTTTAAACCCTAAACCCTAAACCCTAAACCCTAAACCCTAAACCCTATAAACCCTGCAAGCCCCAAAGCCCGGCAAAGGCCTCCGACGGAATTTTCACAAGCTTTGGCTCGAGCCGCTTGCGCTCGCCTGAACTCTAAACCCTAATCCCTAAACCTTGAACCCTAAACCCTAAACCCTAAACCCTGAACCCTGAACCCTGAACCCTGAACCCTGAACCCTAAACCCTAAACCCTAAACCCTAACCCCTAACCCCTAAACCCTGAACCCTGAACCCTGAACCCTCAACCCTGAACCTTGAGCCCTCAGCCTGAGTCCCAGCCTTCAATGCCCAACCTACAGAAGCGAGACCCGAAGAATCGCAACCCAAAAACTCCAGGCCGCCGCAGAAGTGCCTGAACCCTATACCCAGGCTTTTGAAGCCCTATTGAGCCCTCACTGAACCCCAAAACCCTAAACCCTAAACCCTAAACCCTAGCCCTAAACCCTAAACCCTAAACCCCTAAACCCTCCAAATGCCCTAAACCCCTCGAAGCCCTGGCGCTCCGCCACTGCGCCATGGCCGTTCAGAAGGAAGGCTGGCTGCTGAAGCGGGGGCCCGCGTTACAGAACACCTGGTCTTCCAAGTGGTGCGCGCAGCCCCCAGCGAGGGCGAGGGGTTTGGGCTTTTTCGGGTTTAGGGTTCAGGGGTTCAGGGTCGAGAGTTTAGGTTTTAGGGGCTAGGGTTTAGGGTTTTTCAGGGGTTTAGGGTTTAGGGTTTAGGGCTTCTCAGGGGTCTGGATATTTGGGGGCTCTGGGCGGTCAGGTTGGCTAGTTGACATGGGAAATATGGTGAGTGTTTCAGGGTTTGAAGGGGGGAGGAATTTTTGGGGGGTGTAGGCTCAACCCTAAACCCTAAACCCTAAAACCTAAAACCCTAAAACCCTAAACCCTACTGCCGATCCCGATTTGGGCTCCGCAAATGCCATTCATTGCCTCCAGCTCTCAGCTCTTACGTTGCAAACACACCGGCTCCTCAATCTGGACTCCATGCAAAAGCAACAAGAACGCCTTATCCTGCCTTCGGGTTTAGGGTTTGGAGTTTATTTAGGGTTTAAGGTTTAGGGTTTGGGATTTAGGGTTTAGGGTTTAGGGATACCCGCCCAAGCCCAAACCCTGAAATGAAGAGGTGCTGGACGAAGGCGGTTTCCGCTACTTTGCAGATAGCCCCGGACTCAGCGTCAGGCTGTGGCCACGCTTCTGTTCGTCGCATGCCTTAGGGATAGGTTCAAACGGAAAGCTTGTAAAGGACAAACACGATCAAACCCTTAACCCTACACCGCGGGGGATCCACGCAGGGTTGGGAAGTCCGGCGCCCTAAAATGGCCCGAAAATAACCCTAGATTACCATGAAATAACTCATAAAATGTCCCCCAAAACCCTTCAACGCCCTAAGCACTAAACTTGGACGACCAACCTTGGCGCCCAGGCGCGAAGGAACAGCCGGAAGGGGACCTGCCCATAGGCCCAGGTCAGGAGCACGGTTTTTTTCCGTGTCTGGGGCGTTTAAGGTTCAGGGTTCGGGGTCTAGGGGGTTCAGGGTTTGGAGTTTGGGGTTGTAGGTTTAGGGTTTAGGGGTTAGGGTTTAGAGTTTGGGAGGTTATGGTTTAGGGTTTAGGGTTTAGGGGCCTTGGGGGTTCTAGCTCTAAACCCTCAAACCTCGCGATTGGCTTTCTTGAGAGGCTCAAAGGCAACAGCCTTTGCAAGCCGCGAAGCATCAGGCCCGGGAGCAGATTCTGATGCACCGGGTGGGTGTCGGGTTTGGGGTTTGGGGTTTCCTACTACTTGCTCAAGAAACCCTATAAGGAAGAGCATTTAAATGTTTTGGGGGGTTCTTAAGCAAATAGGTAGTTTAGGGTTGAGGCTATTTAGGGCTTATCAGGGCTTGTGGGGTGAATAGGGGGGCTGACTAGTTCAATCGTTCAGGGTGTAGGCTTTTGGGCTCAACTTTGCTTTGGCTTCAGAATCTCTACCCTTTGCGGTGGCTTTCTTCACTCAGTGCTGTGGGATGTTGAGGGTTTTCAGCGTGCTTGGGCTTCCGTGAACACCAGAACACCAGAGGGGATGTTCGGGCTCTAGCCTGAAGGCCTCCATTCCCTGCGAGCATCAGCCCAAGCCTCAAAGCATCCAAACCCCCCCAATCCATCCCCCTTCTGAGAATTGAGTTGATCTGCTGTGCCGTGGAAGGAGAGGCTTTGAAGCTTCAGCCACTTGCCAGCATGGTGCCGGAGGATGCGAGACATCTAGGGCTTTGGGTTCGCGGTTTCTGCGGGGTTTAGAGCTTCGGAGGCTGGGGATGTGAGATGTTGGAATGTCGAGCTGGTGTGAGGAGCTGATACTTCAGGCTTTGAAGTGTTTTGCTGGCATCAGTCTTTCTGGCAGAAGATCATTCTCTTATTCTCTTCGACTTCTCGCGGGTGCTTGCGGGGGTGGGGGGTGGGGGGGTGGGTGAAGTGAAGGAGTGCTGTCCACGCTATCCCTAGAATCCCAATTCTTCCACATATAGACCCAGAAGACATAGTAGAACAGTAGAACCTGTGAAATTGAGCAGCGTTTTGTTCTACGAGCAAGGCTACGTAGAGACGCGATCATTGAAAGTCGGCCGCGTAGCATTTTGCCTGCAGGGCGTAGGTTTGCGTAGGGTCCGCGTAGGCAAGTCTATGCAGTATGGGCGCGTAGGTCCGCGTAGGTTGTCTATGCTTGCTGCGTAGGTCCGCGTAGGCACACACGTCAACAACATACTCCGCGCGTAGGCCGCGCGCCTACTAAACATGAGCTGACGCGTAGGCCCGCGTAGGATACCCATGCCATTACAACACCCCACACAATGAAACAAAAAATGCTCAATTATGACTCGCCCCTCAAAAGCATCACTAAGACTTTGCTTGGGTTAAGCCCTAAACCCTAAACCCTGAACCCTCAACCCTAACCCTAAACCCTAAACCCTAAACCCCGACTTTGCTTGAGGACCGACCGGCCATTCGGGTTCGCTTTGGACTTGTCTCCCGCGGCGGGGCGGTATCAGCACATCTGCTACTTCGATGCTACCGAGCTGCAGCGACCGCCGCAGTTTCCCTCGGGACTGGGTACAGTAGGTAAGCTGGTTATATAGAATCCTAGTATGGACAAAAGGTTAACCTCTTTTGTAGATTCACCCCCCCTCCCCCCCCAAAGTTCCTGCCTTTGTGTCGACCAGGGGGGGCATAGGAGCCATGATCCAGCCCCAAAAGCCTCCAACGCTGGACCAGAAGCCGCGCGCTCCCAAGATTCGATGCTGGCTTCAGCCTGGTATGCCAGTCGTACCCTTTTTGCCTTTTTGTTTCTTTTGGTTCAAGCTTCTCTTCTAAAGTCACCAACCCCAAAAAGGGACCCCCACAAAGGGGTACCCTTATTACGACATGGCTACCGCGCTACCAAGTCAGGCTGAATCAGCACAAGAGCTGAGTCCATGGATGGAGGCGATCCAAGGCGGGCAGGAGTTGCCACGTGACTCACCTACAAACCACCCCAAACCCTAAACCCTAGGTACAGACGTCATGAAAGCTCGCATCCATACATGCGATAGGGGTCGGAAGAATTCCGAAGAGTATTGCCCCATGGTCCCCAGAAAAGGTGCTATAACAACCCCGGAAAGCCTGTTCTGAACTATTGAGGCCCCTATATTATGCAAGCCTGAACCCTGAACCCCCAACCCCAACCCCATATGTGTGGGCTCTTCAAGATCAAGCTTATGAAGGAACTAAATGAGGGACGCTTATAAGGGACTTTAGAGGTCATTTAAGGGGTACTTAGGGGCTACTGAGGTACATGGGGACTTTATAGGGCAGATATAGGGGTTATATAGGGGAATAAGAGTAAAGGTCCCTTCTACGGAAGCTTCTGCTTCGGTCCCTTTGAAGGATGGATTGCAGCTGCAGCCTGGCAGGCGGGAGATGTTGCCGGGCGCTTAGCCCATCCTTTAGGGTTTAGGGTTTAGGGTTTAGGGTTTGGGGTTTAGGGTTTAGGGTTTAGGGTTTAGGGTTTAGGGTTTAGGGTTCCCTTATAAGGCCCTCTAAGCACAAAAGGGCACCCTCTTGATTATCAAGTTACTCTTGGGTCTAGTATACCCTTACTTTTCCAGGATACACCCCCTCAGTCCTGTATAATCCTCGAACAGTTCTATGAACCCCCCAAAGCTTTTAAGACAGCCCTTAACACCTCCTGCCTCTCGACGAGGTCTGCGTGACAAGTTCCTTCATGTCAGATTCAGTAGCTTGTCAGCAGCATTTCCAGGATTTTTTCAACATCCTAGCCTTACACCAACCCCCGAAACCCGAAACCCTAAACCCCAAACCCTACACCCTAAACTAAACCCTGGTTCCGCAAGCAAGGGCAGTCTTGCAGTTTCCTTCGGGGCTTGACAACAATGGACAAAGATGATGGGGTTTCGTGGCTCGGGGCTTTGCTCGCCAAGTCTCGGTTCAGGGTTTAGGGTTTAGGGTTTAGGGTTTAGGGTTTAGGGTTTAGGGTTTAGGGTCTAGGGTCTAGGGTCTAGGGTCTAGGGTCTAGGGATTAGTTCAGGGTTCACGGTTTAGGACTTTAAGGTTTAGGGCTTTCGAGGGTTCAGGACTGAGGGATGAGGGATTTTGGGAATGAATTACCCTAAACCCTAAACCCTAAACCCTAAACCCTAAACCCTAAACCCTAAACCCTAAACCCTAAACCCTAAACCCTAAACCCTAAACCCTAAACTAGCTGCAGCTTCTGTTGAAGTCTTGATCTCCGGTGTCTCAGGAAATCCAGATCCAGCTGGAAGCCGGCCTGTGCCCTGGCTCAAGGGATTGAGACTCGTACCCTAAACCCTAAACCCTAAACCCTAAACCCTAAACCCTAAACCCTAAATCCCGGTTCCCTTCATATACTCCTAGTGTGGCCGTTAACCAGGGCCTTCAAAATCAAGGGTGCAACTCCTTAATATACTCCTAACGTGGCCCTCATCTTCCCTTAAGAGGGTCGCTTAACAGGGCGCCCCAAATGAAGGGTACAACTTTAGGGGTCCAAGGTAGCGTCCTATGACTGGCGTTCGGCCAAGTTTCGAGATTCACCTCCAAACCCCCCCCCCCCCCCCCAACGTATTCGGGGTTTTAGGGCTTTAGGTTGGGATGCTCCCCCTTTTTTAGCAGTCCTCAATCGGCATTATAGTACCCCCTATTACAACAATCCCTATTAAGGACTGTTAGTATAAGGGGAGCATACCAGGCTTTAGGGTTTTCAGGGTTTAGGGCAACCTCCCTATTACAGGACATGAACGTTCAGGGCGAAACATGCCCCTACAAGGATTTACGGCCCATCTTCCCTAAGGGGGATAATCGTAGTATAGGGTATATTTCCCAAATGTGGCCCCCAAGGAGCATAAAGCTTGCAAGTTTGCTAAATCATGGTCCCTTTTGGGGGTACCCTAAATAATAGGGGCCGAGGGTTTAGGGTTTAGGGTAGGGTTTAGGGCAACAGATAACTACAATCGAGCACTCAGGCCATTGAGGTTTGGTACTTCTTCGGGCTTGTTGAAGGTTAGGGGCGTTAGGATATCATGGCTTTCGGGCGTTGGGGCTTAAAGTCTAGGGTTTCAGGGTTTAGGACCTGGAGCTCGCCACCCCAGACCCCAAACCCCAAGCCCCAAACCCCAAACCCCAAACCCTAAACCCTAAACCCCAAACCCTAAACCCTAAACGCTAAACCAAAGGACTGGCATCCTCGTCAAGGTCGATGAGCACGAGGACGCTTTCGTCGAGTTTGCGCTGCACGACGCGCGGCAGTGGGTCTTCCAGAAGAGCTTCGGTCGCGCTCTACGTAAGGGTTTTTAGGATTCATAAGGGTTTAGGGTTAGGGTTTATTTTGGATTAATTCGGGTTCAGGGTTGAGGGTCTACGGCTTTCAGCATGACAAAAAAACGCAGTCCAGATTCAGTGTGTGCACTCTGGGCAGTTTAGAAGCCGAGAATGCAGGGATTGGGATTTGGGGCGCGTTTGAAAGACTTAGAGGTCGTAAAGCCAGAAATTTTAACAAACCCCTAAACCCTAAACCCTAAACCCCTAAACCCCTAAACCCCTAAAACCCTAAACCCCTAAACCCCTAAACCCCTAAACCCCTAAACCCCTAAACCCCTAAACCCCTAAACCCCTAAACCCCTAAACCCCTACAGCGTAAACCAGACATCTCCAAGGTTGCTCCAGCAGCCTTAAATGATTAGCAGCACTCTCCCCATTATAACCCTTTTTTCTTGTTAGACTGTAGCCTGTATATGTATATAAATATATATGTATAGATAATAAAAAAGTATGTATGTATGTATGTATGTATATATATATATATGCAGAGACACAGGGCCGAGTTCCCTCGTTCCCTACGAAGCACCAATAGGATAGCTGTGAAAAGTTCTTGTGCTGTTTGCCTTAGCAGAGCAACCCGATTCATCTCAAGCATATATATATATATATACCCTTCAAGGGATTATTTAGGGTACCTCATTCCCCCATTCCCTACTAACCAACAGTAAGGAGACCAGTGCCGAGAATTTCGAAATCAGCGTCAAGAGTCCCTACCTCGTGTTTACTCAGAACCCTAGGCCCGAAAACCTAAACCCTAGACCCTAGACCCTAAACCCTAAACCCTAAACCCTGTAAAAAAAGACAGCCCTCAACCCCGCAAGACTCCGTGCCTAGGAATCGGCACAAGCTCCGGCGGGTGGCGGATTCCGACGCAAAGGACGTCTTCCTCGCATCCTGGCCTGGTCTCCTTTCTGTTGGTTAGTAGGGAATGGGGGAATGAGGTACCCTAAATCATCCCTTAAAGGGTATATATATATATATATATATATACATAGGGGGATATAGGGTACCTCATTCCCTACTAGCCAACAGTAAGTCTCTGGCGCGCTGTCGGAGAACGTTAGAACGGGCATTTTCATAGTTTGGATTCTCGTTCTTCCACACGGGATTGGACTTTTGTTTGGCCTCCTGTACACATGCACTGGGTTAGGGTTTGGGAGTGTTTCGGGTTTAGGGTTTGGGGTTTAGGGTTCAGGGTTTAGGATAGGGTGAGGGGGTGATTCGAGGACATCGTGCCCCAGAACGACTTGATCATGCACTGGGCGCTGCGCGTCGTGGGCAAGAAGGCCGCACGCTGCGACTTGCCGGCAGTTCCTGGGGTCCTAGGGTTTAGGGTGCTGGGGTGCTGGGGTGCTGGGGTGCTGGGGTCCTATGTGCCCCCCACTGTCCAAAACCCCAAAAAGGCGCCCCGTTGTGATGTAAAGCAGCGCCTAAAGCGTCGACCGGAAACTTTCTATAGGACACGGAGCAGGCCCTCATTCCCTTTTTTGGGGCTGAAGTTCCCCCTTTCACCCAAAAGGACACCCTCCTTATTCCTAGGTTGCTTTTGGGCCTTGTACTCATAAGCATCCCATCATATCCAAGCTCTCGAAGCGGTCTAAAGAGCTGCATACCCTGAGTTTAGGGTTTAGGGGTTTAGGGGTTTAGGGTTTATAGGGTTTAGGGTTTAGGGTTTAGGGTTTAGGGATCTCTGCTTCCGAGGTTACGAGTTTGAAGCAGACGGGGTGTGCATGGGCAAGCGCACAGCGCTCGACAAAGGCCTTCCCATCAAGTCTCAGAAACTGGCAGGCGCGCATCCAGGGTTTAGGGTTGTAGGGTTCAGGGACTTGAGGGTCATCCAAGTGCATGGCTTTTCCCTAAATTCAAGATCCTTTTCCCTCCTCTGACATGGCAACATTTTGAGAGCCGCCCTTAAGGGCTTAGGACTTAGGGCTTAGGGCTTCGGGCAGAGGGCTTAGGGCTTCGGGTTTCGGGTTTAGTTTCAGGTCAGGAGGAGCAGGATTCGGGTTAAAAGGTCTTGAGCCTATGGGAGGTTCGACACCCTACACTCAAGTCTGGCTTTGCCCTACTTGGAGGGAGGTTCATGGTACTTATTGACCAACTATGACCGGTACTTACAACTGTACTTGTAACCATATTGGGGTACTTAAGGGGCTTAGAAACAGGACATAAGTACCGTTGTAATTGGTTCTCATGAACCTCCAAGTAAACCCTAAGCCCTAAACCCTTTTGGCAAGGCCGGACATCGAAGACGCACCGGGAGACTCGGTTGGCCGTGGTAACATTTGACCATCTTCCCTTCTTCTGTTGATTAGGATCAAATCTCCGAGAACCACAAACCCACAACCCCTAGACCCCAAACCCTAAACCCCACTCTAAAGGGGCCCTAAACCCTAAACCCTAAGCCCTAAACCCTAAACCCTAAACCCTAAACCCTAAACCCTAAACCCTAAACCCTAAACCCTAAACCCCTAGGAGATTACGGCCTGGTGCACCGACTTCGGGGCCGAGCACAGCTACGACGCCGCAGGCAACAACCTCTTCGGCGGCAAGAACTGTCAGGCCCCGGAAGAGGTGTTGGGGCCGAGGATTCTTGAGGGTTTAGGGTTTAGGGTTTAGGGAAAAAGGGTTTAGGGTTTAGGGTTTAGGGTTTAGGGTTTAGGGTTTAGGGTTTAGGGTTTAGGGAAATCAGGGTTTAGGGTTTAGGGTTTAGGGTTAGGGAAAAGGGGCTTAGGGTTTAGGGTTTAGGGTTTAAGGTTTAGGGCTGTCGGGCCCAGAAGAGGTTTTTGGCCTGAGTCTTTCTGGGGCCCGTTCGTTCTTGACAGGGCCTGGGTTTTGATGGGGTTAAGAATGTGTTGGGCCATGTTAGGGTGTAGGATTAGGGGTGTAACCCTAAACCCCAAACCCGAAACCCTAAACCCCAAACCCAAATCCCTAAACCCTAAAGGGTTAAGGGTTTAGGGTCTCCTTGTTGAAAGAGCTTAACAGAGCTTTTGCTAGGATTGAGAAGTCCTTGTGCTTAGAAACTTCTGCGGCCGGTCCTGACTAAAAGACTTTGTGGCAACAAGGGGACCGTGCTAGGGTTTTAGAGTTTAGGGTTTAGGGTTTGGGGTTTAGGGTTTAGGGTTTAGGGTTCAGGGTTCAGGGACTCTGTGGCAACAAGGGGACCGTGCACAGAACTGAATTAGGCTAGCGCATTGCTGGAGCAACCCTAAACCCTAGCCCTAAACCCTAAACCCTGAGAGCAGACACAAACTCGGCTGGCACCAGCCGTGCTCGAGTGCAGGATTTTGCCGTGGAGCTGTGCAGATATATGGAGCCACCTCTCCGCAGCATCAGCCGGCATGCCGGCCTTCTAGCGCACTAGCGAAACCCTAAACCCTAAACCCTAAGCCCTAAACCCTAAACCCTAAACCCTAAACTGAAGACCGGCCCCCTTTCCAGCGATAGGGGCCGGTCGTTAGCAGGCCACCGGCAGGGGCCTGCGGACCCGTAGGCGAAGGCCGAAAGGCGAGCCGTAGGGTCCTGGACCTCAGGTCCACGCGGCACTCGAATAGGCCGCTTCTGTCAGCCTATATAATGATAGCCCTAAACCCTCGTGCAAACGACCGGGGACGCCTGAAATCCTTTTCCTGGGTTCACGAAGGCCCGGAAGCTTAAATGAAGAGTTTGGGAATTGAAATTAAGGCCCGGAGGCTCAAATTCAGGGTTTGGGAACTCAAAATTAAGGCCCGGGGGCTTCAATTCAGGGTTTGGGAGCCCACCTTTAAGCCCTACCTTCAAGGCCCGAAGGCTTAAATTAAGGGTTTGGGAACCGAAAATTAAGGCCCGGAGGCTTAAATTAAGGGTTTGGGAACCTAAAATTAAGGCCCGGAGGCTTAAATTAAGGGTTTGGGAACTTAAAATTAAGGCCCGGAGGCTTAAATTAAGGGTTTGGGAACCTAAAATTAAGGCCCGGGCCCAGCGGCTTAAATTACGGGCTTGGGAACTTAAAATTAAGGCCCGGAGGCTTAAATTAAGGGTTTGGCCCCACCTTCAAGGCCCGGAGGCTTAAATTAAGGGTTTGGGAACCTAAAATTCAAGCCAGGAGGCCGAAATTAAGGATTTGGGAACCTACAATTTAAGCCTTAAATTATGGGTTTGGGAACCTACAATTACCGCTCGGAAGCTTAAATTAAGGGTTTTGGATTAAGGGTTAGGAACCTAGAATTAAAGCCCGGGGGCTGAAATTACGAGTTTGGGAATCTAAAATTAAGGCCCGGAGGCTTGAATTAAGGGTTTTGGAACTTAAAATGAAGGGTCGGAGGCTTAAATTCAGGGTTTGGGAACCCACGTTTAAGGCCCGGAGGCTTAAATAAAAGGTTTGGGAACCTGAGAAAATTGGGCCTGGAGGCCTAAAATAAGGGGTTTGGGAACCTAAAATTAGGGCCCGGAGGCTTAAATTAAGGGTTTGGGACCTTAAAATAAAGGTCCGGAGGCTTAAATTAAGGGTTTGGGAACCTAAAATTCAGGCCCGGAAGCTTAAATTAAGGGTTTGGGAATTTAAAATTAAGGCCCGTAATTTAAAATTCAGGCCCGGAAGCTTAAATCAAGGGTTTGGGAATTTAAAATTAAGGCCCGGAATTTAAAATTAAGACCCGGAGGCTTAAAATAAGGGTTTGGGGACCTAAATGAAGGGTCGGAAGCTTAAATTAAGAGTTTGGGAACCCACGTTTAAGGCCCGGATGCTTAAATTAGTAAAACTTAAATCAAGGGTTGGGGAACCTCAAATTAAGGCCCGGAGGCTTAAATTAAGGGTTTGGGACTTTAGAAACACAGGCCCGGAGGCTTAAATTAAGGGTTTGAACATGCTTTGAAAGTTTGCTAAGACCACGGAGTGGAATCGAGTCGAGCCTGCTGCTTTTGCCGTCGCCAATCCTGAAAGGGCTTGAAAGTCTTCCAGGGACCACGGAGTGGAATCGAGTCGAGCCTGCCGCTTTTGCCGCAGCCAATCCTGAAAGGGCTAAACGTCCAGCCTTGAAAAGGTTTCGAAGAACTGCTGAGTGGAAACGAGTCGAGACTGCTGACGGTTGCTCATTTTGGGGGTTCTGCTCTACCAAACCATATATCCCCCCTTGATAGGGGGGTAGGGGGGTAGACAACCCTAAACCCGTCCAAGGTTTGTATTTTGGGTGGGAGGGTGGGCATTGCAGCTCATGCGCCGACCCCCAACCACTTCATGGAGGGGGTCGAAGCGCACTCGCAGCGAAAACCCTAAACCCTAAACCCTAAACCCAAATCTTACACCACCTGACCACAAGGACTTTGCATCGCAACCAGCACTAGCAAGACAACTTCCTCCCAAAGCTCCACAATTCTTCTCAGGGGCCGATTGGGGTTTAAAGTCTAGGTTGATGAGCCTGCTGATGACTCTCGCTGGCGTGCGATGCTTTTCAGTATAGGAATCTGGGACACTGAGCACTCTAAGCTCTGAAATCCGAAGCCCCTGGAACGAGCTGAAGGCTGATCCTTCGGGCAAATGAGAGGGATTATACAACAGCAGTGCCTTTTCACAAGTACCCCATGGCGCAAGATTCATCGGCTTGCCTGCCCTAATCTCTTGAACCCTAGCCTAAACCCCGAAACCCTAAACCCCCAAAACCTTAACCCTAAAACCCTAAAACCCTAAATCCTAAACCCTCCTGCCCTCCCGAACTCTGGCTTGATCTAAGAGCCTCTCGCAGCTAAGGATCGATACGGAGCAGCTGCCGTTTAGGCAGGCGGAGCAGGCGCACCCCCGTGGAGGGCTGAGGCCTAGGGGATAAGGGGGTTTAGGGTTTAGAATTAAGGGTTTAGGGTTTAGGATCAAGGGTTGAGGGGGTCTAGAAATTAGGGCTTAGGGTGTAGGGTTGAGGGGTTTAGGAGATGATGGGGTATAGGGACGTAGGGTTGCGATTGAGGGGGCTAAGCGTCTGGAAGTTATTCTGGGGTGAAGGGTTTAGGGTGGAAGGCTGGGGTTTAGGAGTTGAAAGGAATGTTGGGCTCGGAGCTGTAGGGAGACAAGTGGCTGGGGAAGCGAAACACTAAGGGGTCTACGGAGCTTTTGTGTTTTATTAGGCCTCGTTGTTTTTGGCCCCTAGGGTTTAGGGAAAGCTGTACGGCTCAAGAACTTTCGTGATTTAAGCGGGGGGGTTTTGTTTGGGTTTAGCGTTTGGGTTTTGGGGGTCTCTTTGCAAAGCTCCGGTCAGAGAAGGACAGCTTCGGGTTTGGATGGCATTTAGGGTTCAGGGATTTCATGGATTTAGGGTTTTCATGGTTTCAGCTTTTTGGCTCAGAATACCCGGACGAGGCCCCCGATTGGAACTCACTTTCAGTCTTCAGGCAGCAACCTTTTAGCATTCTCGGGGCGACGACGTCTTTCATCTTCAGGGACTCAAAGACTTTTTAGCCACGTGAAGTCTGAGACCTCGCAACGTTCAGATTTCGGCCATCATCCCTAAACCCTAAACCCTAAACCCTAAACCCTAAACCCTAAACCCTAAACCCTAAACCCTAACATGTACCCTCGGGGCAGGTCAAGACGGTGCTGGGAGCTGGCGCCTTTGTGGCGGCCGATGCAGCGTTGGGCGCCTTGGCGCCGGCAGTCTCTTGAATCCTCACCGGTGAAGGGTGTGATGATCTCTGGATGGTTGTCAATGTATCGACTATGATATAATTAACCCCCAAGAGGCAAAGTCCCTCTATGTCCTGCTGCATAAGCCGGCGCAGGTACGGGCCTGTTGGCAGCGGGCACGGGGCTCGTGGCTGGTGCCTTGGACTTCGGCGTCGCCGCTGCCGGTGCAGCTGCCGGGGCAGCCATGAGCCCTGGGGTCCTTGCCGCTGCTGCTGCCGTGGGCGTGGGCTACGCGTCAGGCGCCTGTGCTTGGGCTGTGGCAGGTTGTGGTGGCACATGCGTACTCGGCCACAAGACTTATCTGGTTGGCTCAGAGCGTGTGTTAGGGAAACGACACCCCCTCCGTGCCTACATTTGCAGAACAGTGGCTGTCTGTTCCCACGGCAAGACCAGGAAACTGAAAGCAGTAATCGTGCCTCAGCAGTAAACGGCGTCCCAACCCGCAATGAGATATTTACACACACACACGTTGATTTGTCTTGATCTGATGAGACGGACAGGTGACAGACCATCATCCTGACAGACTGGGCAATCAAGGCGAATGATAATTTGGTTCCTAAGGCACGCCAAACACCAGGAATGGCATGCCTGCAAAACAGAATGAAGATGATGCGTAAGGGTGTGGGTCTTGCCCTTGCTGTGCCACACAGCACGAAAATGAGACAATGAGATGGTGCTCCCCAAGCTATCCTCGCGAGGATCCATGGGCAAGCATGCAGGTACGTTTGCCTGGGGAGGGTTGGGGAGCTTCGCTGGACAGGGCTCCCCACCCTCCGCCCCTGTCCCTCTGCAAGTGGGTGCGAACCCATGCTTGTTGCGCGCACACACACACATCAACCCCACCAACCAAATTCCCTAAACCCTCCCAGCCCGAATTTAAAAGCCTTGCAAGTCCTGCAAGTCCCTGAAGGCTCCAATGCATTTCCTTACTCTCCCTGAAGGATGAGATGGCAGCGAAACCCCCGAGGAACCCCGTGTTTAGAGCCCCCAAAAGCCCAAACTGCACCTCCAGGCGTCATCACGCCGGAGTCCATCCCAGGATTTGGCTTTGAGACGCAACAGGCTCCCGAGCCTGGGAAGGATGAGCCTTAGCAGGGAAATAAGGAACGAGGTACCCCTACATGCACCTTAGATTTCGCCCTCCCTACATACCCTACATTCCCTACATTCCCCCACAACCACTACTTCAATAGCTAGATTGTGTAAGGTTTTTTTGTTGTTTCATGTGGTCCTTTTTTCTGATTGTTGGGAGCCTATCGTTCCTGAATTCCCTGCCCGGACTGCTGTTAATGCTCCTCCAGAAGGCATATTGCATCCGGCCTAGACTGCCATGCGCAGAGGGGATGTTGGGCTTGACCTAATTGGGGTTGACGAAAATTGGGGACCCTAAAATAGACCCCCGAAATAGTAGGATTGAGGACCCCAAGAAGGTACCCCTACTTTCGGAAACCCAAATGGGCTGCTAACGTTGACGGAGAACCAGAAAGGGGCCATCATTTGGATTAAGCCTTTCGAAAAGAAGCGTAGGGTTACTCACAGCGTGTTGCAAGGCTTTCAGGGAGTCTTGGCTACGACGAAAGTACACAGCCGAAGATGCATCTATATGCCTTTGGGTGGAGGTCGATGGCCAAGAATCAGGATGCAAGCCCCAAGCAACCGACGCAGGGTCTAGGGTTTAGGGTGCAGGGTCCCTGGCGGACGTATTGAGGACACGAAGGGTCGCTCCTGATTCTGCGGCTGATTTGGCCATGAATGGCTTTACCGGCGTTTTTCCCCGACGCTTCGAGTTCTGCTGGACCCTGGTCAGCTGTAAACCCTAAACCCTAAACCCGAAACCCATATTCGTGAGAACTCACGCCTCGGTTGCGAAGCATTCGGGCCATGACCGGGGGGGGGGAGGGGGGGCGCCTCGGTTGCGAGGCATTCGGACCATGACGGGAGGGGGGGGGGGGTTGCTCGAAAGGTCTTGGAAAGGGCATAGAGCATAGGGGATGGACCTACAGGGAAAAAGAGTCCCTATTAAAAGGGGGGATCTTTAGTAAAAAGGGAACCGGAAGATGATGTTGGGGACAGATTTGGGGCTTTAGGGTTCAGGGTTCAGGGTTTAGGGTGTATAGGGCTACCATGCTGCAGAGCAGCGGTAGTCAATCACCTGCGTTCTCCCAGCTACGGCTGGCCTCATGCGTCCTCCCCGAGATGGAAAGAGCCGCAGTGGTGTGTTCTGCTCGCTCAGCCTTGTGGTGCCCTTTTGTCCCTTCTCAAGGGTTCAGGGTTAGGGTTTAGGGTTTCGGGTTTAGGGTTTAAGGTTTAGGGCTTAGGGTTAAGGGTTTAGGGTACAACCAACCCCAAAAAGGATTACAGTTAGTGCGATTGGTGGGGTACCAAAAAACCCTTCGGTGCTTCGAACCCTAAGCCTGGCAGCCAAAATTCTCCAGGATCCTTTTCGACAGCGGGTTCAGGGTTCAGGTTAAGGGTTTAGGGTTTAGGGTTAAGGGTGTAGGGCCTGGCACCATTCTTCGAATTTTGTTACAAGCAGCGGTTCACAGCCATCCTTTCACCTCAAGACATGGAACCCGAACCCGAACACCCCAAACCCCAAACCCCAAACTCTGCACCCTAGAAACATAAAACCCATAGTCACGGTGCACTAGAGAGAGACGGTCTTGCCAAGGTCTACAGCTGGACATTCAGCGGCTCAAGGGCGAAGTCTGCACCACTGAGGTGCGGGTCCCATTGCCTAGAGGGAGGGCCTTAATTCGGGTTTAGGGTTTAGGGTTTAGGGTTTAGGGTTTAGGGTTTAGGGTTTAGGGTTTAGGGTTTAGGGGTTAGGGGTTAGGGTTTAGGGTTTAGGGTTGGGGTTCAAAGAGGATCCCTATCTCGCGGCCTTTGTCGCCCAGCACCCATATGATAATACCCCTTGGGTTAGGGTTTAGGGTTTAGGGTTTAGGGTTTAGGGTTTAGGGTTTAGGGTTTAGGGTTTGGGTTTAGGGCTCAATACCCAGATTATCATACCCTGCCTAGGGTTCAGGGTTTAGAGTCAGGGCTCAGCAACTATACTAGGAACAAAAAAGAGGGCCCAAACCCTAAACCCTAAACCCTAAACCACAAACCACTGAAGCTCAAGCCAAGCCGAGCTTTGCATCCTAGCTTTTTGTAAGCTCCCTTCCGAAAGGAGGAGCAGTCTAAGTCCCATGAGGTCCAAATTACGTAAAGCACTAAATCTTAGACCAGTCTTAAGCCCCAAACCTTATATACCCTAAACTTTAGGGGATATAAGGTTTAGGGCTTAAGACGACTCTAAGATTGCCCTAAACCCTAAACCCTACACCCATGAATCTAAGCACCCAACCCTAGACCGAGTGAAAACTCCCGCAAGGCCCAGAAAACTGAAAGCTTTGAAATTCCCTAACCAGAATTTAGGGCTTGAGGCTTCGGGTTTAGGGTTTTTGGGTTTTTGGGTTTAGGGTTTAGGGTTTAGGATTTAGGGGTCTGGGTCCAGGCAAACTTGCGGAAAGTCCGAGCGGAAGAGGCTCGGGTCACCGCGCCATGGACTGTCCGGGCTTAGGGCTTTAGGCGTTTAGGGTTTCGGGTTTAGGGTTCAGGGCTTTTGGGGAGTTTTTGGGGGTTTTGGGTTCCGGGGTGTAGGGTCTTGAGGTTTAGGCACTCCCTTGATTCCCTTGTTTGGGGGTTAGGTTCCCTTACGCATTTTGAGCAAACAGAGGGTCCTCTCTGAATGACTAGGTCATCCCAGGTTGCTCCTGGGATGAAGCCTTGTACTTGAGGAGTGTTCCGCAATTTTCCCATCGCGATCCTTCGATGTTCACGGCAAGGAATATTCCTTGTACTGCAGGCATCATGTTCTAGGACATATTCCTGTTTTTTCGGGCTTCGGTTCCCTTACAAGCGCCTTTGTTTTCCAGAAAGGGCACCCGTTTTTATTCCTAGGTTACTCTTTTTTCCTGTTTGGAGCATGCTTCAAATCGTGACAGGTATCCTAAGAGTGATGGTTTAAGGAAAGTTCCTCAGATTACGGGTTCTGGAGGCTCCTCATACTACGGGTACTGGAGGCTGTCGGAATGGTGTTGCGTACGAAGGTTTGGGGCTGAGGTGGCTTTCCTCTGTGGGAGTCCTATGTTTTGGGGTTTTAGGATTTAGGGGTCGAGCGTCGTTGATTTCGGGCTCCGGGACTTAGCTGTCGGGGTTTAGGGTTTAACGCCAAGTACCCTTTTATTCACATGAAGTGAAGGCTCCCCCTGTTTATTCCTAGCCCTAAACCCCAAACCCTAAACAAACCCTAAACCCTTTCTATCCCTAGGTTACTCTCGGGTCCTCGAGAGGGGACCCCGAATACTCCTGAGATACCCTATACCGGCCAAAGTCCCGTACTTCAGAACCCTTTGAAGGAGGTAAGGGAACACATTAAGGCCCATGTAACTACCCTAGTATGCGTCTCCTAAACCCTCAACCTTCAACCCTAAACCCAAAACCCTAAACCGTAAACCCTAAACCCTAAACCCTAAACCCTAAGGGCCCATGTAAACACCCTTAGACAAGCACGAAACTCCACACCCGCAGGCCGCCTCCATCGAAGCCGGTCGGCTTCGCACCGTCCTCCTCTCCACGGAGATGACGGCGCACCAGGTGGGGTTTAGGGTTTAGGGTTTAGGGTTGAGGGTGGAGGGTTTAGGGTTTAGGGTCCTAAGGTTTAGGGTTTGGGGTTTAGGGTTTGGGGTTTAGGGCTTAGGGCTTAGGGTTCTGAAGGCGCTTTAGGGCGAAGCCCTCAAGCCCAAAACCTCTGAAGCACTTGGTCAGAGATTCAGAGTTTGGTGGCGCAGAAGGGTTTCCCTAACCCCAAACCCCAAACTCCTAAACTGGGGGATTCCACAGGGTGCGAAAGTTAAGGGTGAACTCTGCATTCCACATGACCTGTAAGGTGTGCAGCGAGCGTTTGGCTCGCCTGAGCCGGAATATGGAAGACAGGACGGAGCTCCTCAGTCGGCAATACTACTTGAAGGGCCATCGGCGGATTCGGGTTGCGGGTCTCGGGGTTGGTGGAGAGATGTTGCCCAAGAGCCTGCTGAATGCGAGCTCGTGCCAGCAGTTGCGGAGTCGAGCCTTCTGATACCTGAAATTCAAACTACACAAATTAGTAGGTTGCAGCCAAACTACAAGGCAGCACCCCCCAAAAAACAACGAGCAATTGGGACCCTTGTCCCCTCTCGGGCTTCCGGGAGGTCTGTTCAAGTGACTTAAAGGAGGGACCCTTGTGAGGGATCTTAGGGGGTATTTTTTTTTTGGGGGGGGGGGGGATATTTTGGGGGATACCTAGGTATATAGGAACTATATAAGTTGTACTTAGAGGTCATTTGGGAGAATATGATGAAGGGTCCCTTCTAGGGGTCGAACCCCGGTAACCTGTGGAGTTCTGGGGACCTGAGTCTTAACCTAAATGTCTTGTCTGCACTCCAGATCGGAAAATGGAAGCGGTGGTCTTAAGGTTTTGGGTATAGGGTTTAGAGTTCAGGGGTGTAGAAGTGTAGGATCTAAGGTTCAGGGTTTAGAGTGTAGGATGTAGGATGCCCGGAAGAGCTCTCGGATACAGAATCCTGAAGCCTAGGCAAGCTGTCTCAACCCTAAGCCCTAAACCCGAAACCCTGAAGCGAGCAGGACCTCGCAGAAGCCAAATTCATCCTGCCCAGGTGTCTGCAGACGGAGCTGCAGCGAGAGTGGCTCGCCTTGACCTGGTTTAGGGTATAGGGTTTAGGGTTTAGGGTTTAGGGTTTAGGGTTTAGGGTTTTGAAAGTTTAAAAAGTTTAGAAAGTCTAGGGTTTAGGGCTTAGGGTCCCTTAAGCCTGTGCAAGGGGTTGTCATTGGCCTTCAGAGGCTCCCCTCCGCGTATCCGTTCAAAGGGTATCCGGCCTTTCACATGTTTGGGGTGTAGGGGTTTAGGGTTTAGGTGTTTTGGGGTTGTGGGGCTTTTGTGGTTTGGGTGTTTCGGGGTTTTTGGGTTTCGGGGTTTGGGGGTTTCGGAGTTGGTGGGTTTAGGGCTTTAGGATTTGGGGGTTGGGGGTTTGGGGGCTGAGGGTTCAATTAGGGTTTATGGTTTGGGGTTGTTGCTCTGTTCCTCGTGAAGTCAAGAACTGTCAAAGCTTTGCATCTGGGACCAACCGTCTGAGTATATGCAGGTGTTCCTGCTTAACACTTCAAAACCGCAAACCCTAAACCCTTCCTGCGAATACCCTCGTGCATGTAGCTGAGAAACCTGAATTAACTGTGCGCGGCTGGCAGAGCCTCCTAGGGCATCTGGGCTTCCATACCCCAAAAATCCAAACCCAAAACCAAACAAGGCTCCAGGGCTAAACCCCAAACCCTAGAACCCGTTGCTTAGGCTGGTATCGGCGAATGACCTTCGTCAAGCGTTGATGGCAGTTTGGGAGGCCCATGGAGATGGTTTTAGGGTTTAGGGTTTAGGGCTTAGGGTGCTACACCTTTCGTTCGGTTCCCCGGATGTTGCTGCCCCGCACATGGAGCATTAAAGGGTTCTGGCTTGTGAATAAGGTTCTAGGAGTCAGGATTTCAGCTATATGGTTCCAGGGCTTGAGGGGCTTTACTGTAAAACTCTCAGGCTTTGGGGTTCGACGTGAGCTTATGGGGTTTCAGGGTTTACAGCAATTAGGTGGGTTAGGGTCTGAAGCCCCGCAGTTTTGGACGTTCATGACCTTCATGACTTCGTGCAGGCGAACGTCTCAGAGGTCAGCAGAGACTTGGAGACTTCGGCGTCCAAATCGCTAGCGCCGGAGACTGAGATCTGCTTGCCGAAAGGTCTCAATAGTCTACGTCTAAATTGCTTATTATATATACACACACGAAGATGTCTCTCTCTCTCTCTATATATATATATATACATAGATAGATATAGATATAGAGAGAGGTGTGTGTGTGTGTGTGTGTGCTTTTATGAAATTTAACAATGTATGTGTTTCTCTGCAGGTTTACTAAAACCCCGAAGCTCCAGTTCTTGGTTCTTTGAGACAAGTACGAGTTCATATCCCCGAATCTCAGGACATGTCTACGTATAGAGTTTCGGGTTTCGGGTTCAGGGTTTAGGGTTTGGGGGTGGTTGATAGCAAAGAGCAAAAGGAATTCTTCGGGTTCAGGGTTTTGGGTTTGGGGTTAGGGTTTCGGGTTTAGAAGCTTCCCCCAACGCCCCTAGAACATGCGGAAGCCCTTCCCATCCCCCAACTCCCCCCTTAAGCCCAAGACCCCTAAACGGTAACACCACAAAAGCCCGAAACCTCTTACAATGTCCTGCACCTCTAAGCTACCAGACCCTTAGTTTCCCCCCCTAAAATTGCTACCAGACCCCTAGCTTCCCCCCTAAAATCCCTTAGCTCCCAAACCCTGAACCCCTGAAAGCCCGAGCCCCAGAACCCTCACTGCCACCCCTCAAGCCCCCGGAGCTCCTTGATCCCCTCCCCCGACCCTCCCCCCCTGAAGCCTAAACCCTAAACCCTAAACCCTAAACCCTAAACCCTAAACCCTAAACCCTAAACCCTAAACCCTAAACCCTAAACCCTAAACCCTAAACCCTAAACCCTAAACCTAAACCCCCCCCACCCCCCGCAATTCTAGAAGTCGCCTCGGCCGGAAAAAATCTTTTCAATTAGGGGGGGGCCTAAACCCTAAAGCCTGAAATCTGCAGCCTGGGAGAGAAGGAGGGAGTAGAGGGTTTGGGGTTTGGGGGTTCAGGGCAGGTAGGGTTGCCTTAAGCCCTAGACCCTAATTAAACCCTCTGAGCCTCGAGCCCTAAGCCCTGCAAATCCTCTGAGCCTTAAGCCCTAGATCCTAATTGAAAGCCCTAATGGCTGAACTCAAGGTCGGAGGCCCTCGACCCCCCCCCCCCCCCCCCGTAATTCTCAAACAGGTTCAGTTTTGGGCTGGGTGCCGGGAGGGTCCGGGAAAAAAGATATTCAAAATTAGGGTGGGGTTTAGTATTAGGGGCAGGGGAGTAGACCCTACACTCATGAACCCCCACAGCCCTAAACTCCTCAACTCCCGACCCCCCCAAACCCTAAACCCTAAACTCCTTAAACCCTACACTCATGAAGCTAAGCCCCGAACGCCAAAGGCGCAGCGAGTCTGCACCTGAGCTGAAGTCTCAACCGGGTCCTGTCTGGAAGGACGTGATGGAGAGGTGAGGGGAGGGTGGGGGAGGTGGGGGAGGTGAAGGAGTGCTTCGGGCTTGAAGGTTTTCGGGTTTCGAAGGTTTATAAGGTTCAGGGTTTCGGGCTTAGGGTTCAAGGAGGTTTGGAGGGCTTCGGGGTTTCTCGTCTAAACGGTTTAGAACGATTAGAGGGTTCAGGGTTTAATGGGTCTTTTTTGTGATGATCTAACAAGGTTCTCTGTCTGTATGGCAGGATCTGAGCGCGAGCTCTAGTGCAAGTTTTGGCTGGTTTAGGGTTTAGGGTTTAGTGAGTACAGCTTATGTTCCTCACACTGGTTTGCCGGTGCCCCGACAACAAGCTAGCCCAAGTCGATGGACACCTTGGCGCTTCAAGTTTGGGGCTTTTGGCCGAAAAGCACAGACTAAGCCTAAACCCTAAATCCGAAACCCTAGCCCTAAACCCTGAAACCCTAAAGACAGGCTCGGTTGCGTTGTCGTGTTTGCCGCCAGGCACGGGTGCCCGCCGGAGCAGATCATCTCGGTGCGAATGCACCGGAGGCTCGCTGAATTCCCGTTTTATAGGCCCCAAACCCCAAACCCTAAATTGGTTTCGGGTCTTTGTGTGTGTGTGTGTGAGAGATCCTGCTTGAGCCCTCAAGCCTGTAAGCCAAAATCAAGACAGGAAACAAAAGCCGAGAGGCACCAAGGTTTAGGAGAAGTGGGTTCACGGCTTCGGGCTGTAGGGGTCTGCTTTAGGGTTTGAGGTTTACCGCTTTGGGTTATTAGTTTTAGGGAGTGCGGCTTCAGGAGCTAAAGACTTTGGGGTTAGGGGTGCACACGGCTTCCCTGACCCTAAACCCTAAGCCCTACGCCCTAAGCCCTGAGCCCTGAGCCCTGAGCAAGCCCTAAACCCACCCCTAGCCCCAATACCCTAAACCCTTCGAGCCCAGCGCTCCACAGGCGGAAGAAGCCGAGCAGCACGCCCGGCGGAGCACCCCTCAGGAGCCGAAGTCGTGGGACGCTTTTGGACTTGTAAGGCTTGGGGCTTAGGGGGTTCAGGGCTTAGGGGTTTAGGGTTTGGGGTTGGGGTTTGGGGGTTTAGGGTTTAAGTCTTGGGGGGGTTTATTGTTTGGGGGTTTGCGGTTTGGGGTTTAGGGCCCTTGGTTAGGGTTAAGGGTTTAGGGCTTAGGGTTTAGGGTTTGGGGTTGGGGTTTGGGGGTTTAGGGTTTAAGGCTTTGGGGTTTGGGTTTTTTCGGGTCTTTCGGTTTCGTGCATGAGGGTTGAGTTGGAGTGGGGAGTGTTGGTGCACTAGCCATGTCAGAAAACCTGCCAAAGTCCTGCAAACCATACATTGTGAAAAACTTGATTTTCCATTACATATTTTGAGAAGGAGCTATGAAAAGCCTTTTAAGGGGGCCTGCCCCGAGCTGCGTCTTGGGGGCTTCGCGGCTTTGGGGAGGCCCGGGGTTCAATTGAGGGCTTTAGGGTCCCTTTGAATGGTTCCCTAAATCGTAAGACTGGACCCCAGACCCCAAACCCGAGACCCTAAAACCCTGAGAACCCGAAATACTCAGCCCTAAAATCCCCAAACGGTAGACCCTCAACCCTAAACCCTAATTAAAACCCTAAACCTAACAACCCCATGAGCCCCGCAAATATGCACCCCGGACCCCCTCTCCCAACCCTGAACTCTGAACCCTGAACCCTGAACCCTGAACCCTGAACCCTGAACCCTGAACCCTGAACCCTGAACCCTGAACCTGAACCCTGAACCCTAAACCCTAAACCCTAAACCCTAAACCCAAACCGCCTGCCTAGGAGGAGCTCAAGCACCGGGTCCCTGCAGCTGCCGGAGAACCCGGGGCCCGCCAAGAAGAAGGCGGCTTCAGCGGGGGCTCATGGGGTTTAGGGTTTAGGGTTTAGGGGGGTTTAGGGTTTAGGGTTTAGGCTTTAGGGTTTAGGGTTTAGGGTTTAGGGATTAGGGTTTAGGGTTTGGGGTGTTTGTTTAGGGTCTAGGGTTTAGCGTTTAGGGTTTAGGGTCTGGCCTTTAGGGCTTGGGGTTTGGGGTTTAGAGTTTAGGGGTTGGGGTTTAGGGTTTTGGACTTGGGGTTTAGGGTTTGGGGTTTAGAGTTTAGCGTTTTGGGTTTAGGGGTTTAAGGGTTTAGAGGGTTTAGAGTTTAGGGGTCGGAGCTTAGGGTTTAGGGCTTGGGGCATAGGGTTTGGATTTGGGGTTGGGGCTTCACTAGGGTTTAGGATTTAGACCAGTTTTTGGCGGGCCTGGCCTTGGTTTGCAGGGTTATGAGGGTTACAGGGCGTGCGTTGAAGGCCCTTATGTACTTACTTCTTCAGCAGATTCGAAGACAGATCTAGAGACCATTCCCAGGAAAGGGACCACTTTGGGACACCTCTGAGGGGGGCGTGCCGGAGCTGCAGTCGTATTCCACCTTAAGCTGACGCTTCGATCGTTCAGCTTCCAAAAAATATCTTGAACCCTGACCCAGATCCTACATCTGAACGCGGCCTTTCCCGAAGTCGCTTAGAGGAGACCAAGATGCCCTCAGCCCCAGATGAGCGGTGCCGTACAGCACTCAAGCTGAAGCTCCGCGTTGAAGTCCCTCCACACATCCTACAGCATCAGCCCTTCATAAACGAAGCTTCAACCTTCTCTGACTATCAAAAGTCGCAAATAAACTCTGACAAACCCACTGTGCCAAAGCCGAACCCTAAAGCTGTAAACCCAACCCACTTCCCTAAACCTCCAAACTCCAAACGCCTAAGCCCCCATCCCTAAAACCCAAACCAGGCCCCAATCCCTAAACCCCACACGCTCTAAACCAGCAAACCCTAAACACCAAAACCCTAAACCCTCAACCCTAACACCAAAGCCATAACGCCCTCAACCCTAACACCAAAACCCTAAACCCAAACCCCAAAACACCAACCCTAAACCCTCAACCATAAACACAAAACCCTAAACCTCAAGCCCTAAACCCTAAACCCTATTCCTCTCCGAGGTGCCTCTTGCATCCACGGCACCCAGCCGCGGAGCCAAGGCCAAAGTGTGGGGAGGCTCAGGTAAGGGAGGATTCAGGCGGCCTTGGGGGGGCGTTTAGGTTTAGGGTTTATATAATAGGGGAGGTCGTGGAAGTTGGGCGGGGGGGTGGGGATTGGGGTTTGGGGTTTCAGGTTTAGGGTTTAGGGGCCTTGAGGGTTTTAGGGGCCCGAGGCTGAAGTTCTGTAGAAGCTGCCCACGTGTTGGAAGGGGTCTTAGGCCCTAAATGCAACCCTCAGCCGCCGAGACTTGGAACCCTAAGCCGCCGAAGCTTAAGCTCTGTGCCTTGTAACTTGTAATCCCCTGTCCTACAGGGGCCCAAATAAGTACTTCTTCTTATTATAACGAACAAGATACCCACTCTAACCATAAGTACGCACCTGCGTTACCACGTTCAATCCGATTTTAAGTCCCGAGCCCAAAAGAAGCCAAGGCCAACACCCAGCCGTCTTGGGCGGGCTGCAGATGCCGGCTGTCGAAGTGGGACCCCCCTCCGCAAGGAGCACCCCTGGTAAATATCGAGATAGGCACGTGGTTGTTTTGTTTCACAGTAAATTCTGCCTTTTAAGGGGACCATACTTGAGGAATACCTTTTCAGAGGTTTTTCAAAGGGCCAGACTAGAGATGTATTGCTCGACTCTTCCGTCGATGTGGAGGGCTTGTTTGTTCGAGGTCTTTCCCCATGTAGGCTTAGCTAGAAGGGCTTCAGGTGTCGATTCTCTGGAAGCAACAAGCATAAGCCACGGCCCTTGTATAATAAATGCCTGCTTTCTGATTGGGATCCCAAGGTTACCGTCTAAAGTAAGCTGGCCGGATTAGTGCTTTGGGGGATGTGCGCGGATTAGATGCCAGCGCAGCTGCAGCAGCACCTGCCAATGTCCAAGCGCTGGCCTTCCAGGCTGGCTTTTGAAATCTGCATCGCAGACAATGATAATGCTGAGGCTCGGTTGCCGGCAACCATTGCAACAATGTTGCAAAGCTCCCACAAACTGTCAGCCTGCAACGTGTCTTGTTGCAGCCCGCGGTCTAGTGACGATTCCTTTTGAAGAGCTGCGTTCCCGCATATCGATTGACAAGGGTTGGCAGACACGAGATGCCTACGCTGGCTGCCAACTTGCCACACTCAGCCCGCAGTCGCGCGGGCACGTTCTAGAAAGAGCAGTGAGGTCGATCTATGCCCAGCTGCAGCCAGGTTGCGTGATCTCGGATCCCACGCCTGGCCAAAGATGCGATGGTAGGCGACGCTCACTGCATCAAGCTGAATATGATTGGATGTGCGACGCCCGAAGAGTGGAATGCAAGACTGGTCAGCTGTGCTGGAGCGAGAAGCACAGCGTTTGGACTGTTTCCTTCCACAATATAAAGTTTGAGCTTCTGGACGAGCTACTTTTAATCATGTACACTCCATTTCGTATCCACTTGCTTCTGCATGACCATAAAAGCGGCGTCAGTTGCACAGGAAGTAGAGCTGCGTCGCGCGGTGTTCGGGTGAAGTACAGCTCTCCGAAACACGTACGCTCATGCGCAGCTGCCACCCAAGCCATCCTTGAGCAGTTTGCCTGCCAGCTGGTGGCAAGCGAACCGACGTCACACGAGGCAGTCCAACAGGCTTACGGCCACTACGGTCGCTCTATGGCAGCTCAAAAAGCCTCAGCTGCGTTTCGAGACCATCCGCTTGGAGGCATGACCCCCACTGCTCGTGGCATGTACATCGAGCAGCTTGTTTGGGAGGTGGACAGAATGCTCTACCCAAGCAGTCATTTCCGATCGCAGCTGCACACTGCAAGACAGGATTGGTTTCGAGACAACTTGCGTGTAGAATGCAAGCACGGACGGTTGTATTTATCTGCAGGGAGGTGGACTTGTAGGTTTTCAGCAATCAAATTTCAGAGCTTTGACAGCCTGTACTTGGCCATAGACAGCCCAGCTGGCATCTTCATCTTGCAACATGCCGGAGACAAGTTCCGCAGCACAAGTGGAGTCGAGACAGCGCATATGGGTGAGAACATTGCTGTAAGAGCCCCGAAACGTGTCGTGGATTGCCATGAGGCAGCCCAGATCGTGGTTGACAAGCTCGTGCAAACCGGAAGCAAACACCTTGCAACAATTCACTTCCACGGCAGTGGCATCTCCCAGCTGCCTACGGGAAATATGCCTGTGTGACAGTACCTGCGGGCAAAACAACTCCAAGCCAACAGGTTGCATGGGATCATGGAGCGAAGCATGAATGCTTCCCGAATGCATTGCTGTGTCAGCAACGTCTCATGTTCGTCATGCCACCCTAAACCATAAACCGTAAACCCTAAACCCTAAACCCTAAACCCTAAACCCTAAACCCTAAACCCTAAACCCTAAACCCTAAACCCTAAACCGCACTTGAGTGCTGGGCACAGCCTTCGACACCCAAGCCTCGAGGTTGTGGGTTTTCATTATTGTTGCAGGATCCTTGGTCTACAAATGTTTAGGGTTCAGGGTATAGGGTTTAGGGTTTAGGGCCTAAGGGTTTAGGGTTTAAGGTGGCCGCTGTGGTCTCGAACATCTCTTTCACTGTGCCCAGATTACATGACATGTCACGGCAGCGTTGGCAAAATTGCCAGCACACATGACCTGGAACCTGAAGTCCTGAAGCGTAGTTGATCGTGCGAGTCTTCCTCCACCATGCAACGCATGCAAATCGAGGGTTGGAGCTGACTTGCAGCTTAACTTGCACCACTCGGAGTTTCGAGTTCGGCCCCAACCGGTTAGTGCCTTGGAGCTCGGCTTGTTTTGAACATATTGCGTAGGCCTTTCGGTATAAGGTTCCGAACCGCAAAGTCGATAAGTTGTAGCCCTCAATACCCCAGTCTATTTCCGTGGTGGGTCCGACCCTGGACGGGCAGGAGCCAAGCATCGAGCACGGCCGCAGAGTCTCCAAGTGAGATGGCGAGGATCTTTCTCAAAATGTCGCTGGCGCTTGAGCAGAACGGATCGTAGCCTCAATGACGTGCTGCGTTTATTATTCTAACTACAAATTCCATAGGAGTTCAGTGGCGGGGGGGTTGGGGGGGGTTAGGATAGATCGCTGAAGGAGTTTTTTAATTCCATCATTTTGAGAGAGACCCACGTGCAAGTAGATCGCCGAGCCGTGAGAGCTTCCTTTGGGGGCTCATCGTTTGAAGGCTCTCTGAGCTGCACGGAGGGAACAGCATGGACCCATGACAGGGGCCCCGCTAACAAGGTGCTAGGACAAGGTGCTTGGACAAGGTTTGTGGGGTTTAGGAAGCTTCTCGTCCCGGAACTTGATTCAAGAGGAAAGCGCAATAGGCCCATCACATGGGCAAGTTCCAGAATGTGGCATGCACACGCCAGGAGACTCCAAGACTCGACTGCAACTATGCAAAAGCAACTAAGCCCCTATATCTTGACCCTAAACCCCAGAACTCGGACAATCTTGTGCAACCTTACCTATATAAGTCGAACGGAAGAACATAAATTGCTCGTGCAAACGTTGGCTGATTCTTGCATGTGAGTATGTCACATGTGAGCTTGCCAGACCGTGGTTAGGGTCTCTGCTGTCTCTTCCTGTAAACTCTCTTTGGTCGCTTCGTGAGAAAGACCAAATATTCTTGGTTGGCTCATGAGGTGTTTGCGGAGTGCAAGAAGAAGGTCGAGGGGAACTCATGGAGTCATCCGGCAAAATCTTACATTGCAGGGCAAGTGGTACTCACTCTGCAAGCATCGCATTAGCCTGACTAGCCAAGATGTGGCAAAGCTCACGCTGCGCATGATAAGAGTGTTATTGCATGGAGACTCTGGCAGATTGCTTTCTTGCGTACGTATGATGAAAGCATGGCTTGATCCACTCTGATGGCGATCTGCTTCAGCTCCTGAATGAATCCTGTACAGTCTGTGCACGCTTGCAACATGTACAGTACGGCAGAGCCCATGGTAGAGGATTGCCCACAGTGGACTCACAGTGTTTCACGCAACGTGGCTCGAGTGTCCCAAGCACCCTGGGTTAACAGCTGCTGCGTCGCTTAACTCAACGTCATCCCTTGCCTCATGCTCAGTGAGTGGGGTGTACTGAGTACTGCTACTTGTGCACATTGGATGGTGTTTGTCGGGTTCTCCACTGGGTGGGTTGAGAGAGAGGAGAGAGAGAGAGAGAGAGAGAGAGAGAGAGAGAGAGAGAGCGAGAGAGCAAGCAGTAGTTGAGGGATGGCCCATGTCACTGGTCCAGGGGGACTACCTCTCTTCGCACACAACCCTTTGCAGTTCCACCTTGCTTCAACATCTGAGATGAGCGTGGAGCTGATTCGCACGATGCTTGGTGCCAGGATGGCGTGCTGGTCATCATTGATTGGGGGCCGGCACCTTTCTTCCCTCTCGTGCACATGACCAAAATGCACTCGCACAGTAGACTGCCATCTCAATGTACTACAAGATGCTGGGTCATACATCTTAAAACCATCAACTCTATGAAGTGCTTGTGACTGTGCCTGCGACCTAGGCTCGTTGCGCAGATCAAAAGCCTGCAGCGCTCAAGGATTCTCCAGTTCGCCGGAGCCTCGAGCTTCCTGATGTCTGGGTTCCTTATCAACAGTTAAGTTACCATGGGTTCTTTAACAAACTCAATTTAAGTTACCATGACAAGGATACTGCATGAGTTATTTTGTAGCTTTACGATGGTAGTTGAAATTAAGTTGGTTAACAGGACCTTGGTGTCAGTCGCAGTTGAGGTACCTACGACTCGTTGCAGACTTCTCATGGTGGTTTACTGATGAATGGAATGACAAGCTCGCGAACACGCGAAGTTGCAGGGTCACGTGCAGTTGTAAAGGGATGGTAAGTAGGGAAACTATAGAGCCATCACTGGTGATAACCTTATTTGAGTTGGCGGCCTACTTCTAAGTACCCTGAACCCGAAGTAAATAGCAGCTCCCGAAGTTGCGTGCCGGAGCTGCTGCCCACAGCAGGTGGCACACATCGTTTCCAACGACTACGAGGCTATCCCTGGTGATCTGGCACCGGCCTCGGGGTCTTCGGTTTTATGGGAAAAGTCGCAACCCATGGGCAGGGACAACGCTCATGTCTTGAGATGCAGGGGCTTCGGACCCTTTTTGGGGGTGCCCTGAATATGAGGCTGTATTGTAATGGGGAGCCCCAAAAAGGGCCCTGATGCGCTTGCATGTGCGGTCTTAGGTTCACAGTCTTGCACAGAATGAGGTGCGCTTAGTGGAGTTGACCTGCTTAGGAGGGTTTCACCATGGATTGACTTCGTTAATTATACTTCCTCAACCCTACTAACTCTCGGGAGATAGATGGCCTTTCGGGGACAAGAAGAAGATACCGGATTGGCAGCCGTTCCGAAACCTGGGTGCAAGACAGGCTTATGCAGTCTGAGGTGGGCGCTGAGGGACCCCCAATCCAGATTCTCTTCTGTTGGGGCTCAGGATCTGCAGATAGCCCTAGTTCATGCAGAAGACACGAAGAGGATCGTGAATCACAAGCACCCACCGACTCGATGGCTTCTGATCAACATGATGGGCCCTTTGTGGCGCTCTGTTCCTTATGGTCTAGAATTTAGGGACACCCAAAAAGGCTTAACTCCTCAGGGGTTCTCCCTCATCCCCCCCCCCCCCCCCCGCCCCCCCGAACTCCCCGAACCCCAAAAGCCACGAGCTGCCAAGGTCAAGATGGGGTTCATTGCCACGGGTCGACAGAATGCAGTCGCGGAAGAAGCTGTGGCCAAAGCCATCAGGCGCACAGAGAGGAGAAAAGGGGTTTTGGGTTTGGGGTTTAGGATGTTCGAGTTTAGAGTTTACGGGCCTAGGAGTTCAGGAGTTTAGGGGTTCTTTGGTCCAGGAGTTTGCTGCGGGGCTTCTAGCTCAGCAAGGCTTTAGGACTGGGAGTTCCTCCAAATGATGTCAGAACTCAGGGTCTCAGCACGGTCATGGTCGACATGAAAGGGTGCTGCTTCTCCAATTTCCTATAACTGGCACTGGAAACAAGACAAAGTTGTGCCTGTCGGCTAAACACAGCTACATTCCAATCTCCGCTACAAGTCCAAAGCCCCAAGCACTGGCTGTATTCTGACTACTCCGCCTAACAAATTGCGACCCTCAACCCAACTCTTTTTTCTCTCAAATCTGTCGCCCTGTCAGTGACGTCTTCCAGAGCTTGGCATCAGGCAGCATCACCAGGGGGCTGGGCGAGGGCTTAGGGCGTAGGATTCGGGAATTCAGGCGATAGGTCTTGAGTTTCGACAGTCGGGCTGATCAAACCCTGAAAAACTTCCAACTCCAAAACCCGAGAGCTCCCAAACCCTACCTGCTCGAAAGCCCCCAACCCTTAGGACTTAGAATTTTGCGGTTTGGGTTTTAGAGTTTCGTCGAGGAAGCAGCCCCCAGCTTGCTGCCCATGTTGCTGCAAAGGGCTGGCACCCTTAACCCACAAAGCTGCAGACACCAAGGGTCCCCCCCCCCCCCCAGAAAAGCTCTGTAGCACAGAAGTAGGTCCGCAAAAACTAAACCCTAAACCCTAACCCCCCCTCCGATTTGCACGCAGGACTGAGGGTGTTGCATTTGCTATGGGCCCCAAGCCTTAAATCCCCATAGAACGCCTTGAGCCCTTGTAGACTCAGACCTAAGCCCTGTGCCCACATTCTGAAACCCGACAGTTTGACACCCCAAGCTACGTAGGCTTACAGTACAGGATGTTGAGGGTCGTGGGTGCAGGAGCCTAAACCCTAAACCCCAAACCCTAAACCCTAAACCCCAAACCCTAAACCCTAAACCTTGAGAAGCAAGCAGGCGGTGCTGCTACGAGGCGCATCCGAGATGTGCCAGACCTGCATTGGATGGGGCTTGGGGCCTAGGGCTTTGGATTTTTCTAGGGTTGAGGGCTTAGGCCTTAGGGCTTAGCTCGGGCGCACGGTCTTGAGCCCCAGACCCAAGCAAAGCCCTAGCAGACCCTGAACCTTTAAAACCCTTAAGCTCCTTGACACTAGACTCACTCGACCCCTCCAAAGCCTGAACCCAGCCCAACCCCTGAACCCCGCCTTCTTTCGAGCAACTGGAAACCCTGTCATTGTAGACTGCACCACCCCCCAAAAAAACAGGCCGCCCACAAACCTTGACCCCAAGCGCCTCAGCTCCTAACCCCGAAACCTTATCCTTGACCCA